TTGCTTTCTAATAGTTGAATGTATACAAACTTTGTTTCATGCACAACTTTATTTTAAAAAGTTGACATTAAAAAGTTGACATTACCTTCAGAGTATGGGTATCAGGTGTATATGAAGCATAAAGGAATTGCATTTTAAACTTGGGTCCCATCGCCAAGGTATCTCATTACATATTCGGAAATGTTGGTGTTCCAGATTGTAGAAGACAAATCTAACCACCACCACCCTCCCCAAACCCTTCTGGTTTCAAGCATTTCAGAGAAGGTATACTCAACCTGTATTAGTTTTCCATTTGCAGGAAGGTTTTTTAAAAAACATAGTCGCATTGGAAAAGTTACTTTGGGGAGCTTGATGCTTTCGGTCATATGAAGCTTTTTTGGGTTCTCCTGGGCTTCATTTATGTATTTATTTATAACATTCCTACCCTGCCTTTCTCCACCCTGGGGGGAACCCAAGGCAGTTTACACTTAGGCAACTATTTGATGCCTTCAAACAATGTACAGTTAAAACAAACATTTAAATAGAATTATAAAATACATTAAAACATTTAAACATAAAAAAACAATGCCTTCACTGTTAACCACATTATCCAAAGTCATAGTCTGGGCCATTCCAATTGTCATTACACATAATTCTATATTTATCTATTACACAAGATCTTCAAAGGCTTGATCACAAAGCCACATTTTTACTTGCTTACGGAAGGTCAGGAGGGTTGGGGCTGCATTTTGGATGCACCTTGGACAAGATGGCTGTTGCTTTCATGTCTAAGTGGTACTAAAGCAGCTGAGGTGCATATGATGTCCAAAGGTGACCCTCGACAAAGTATTTTCTTCCTGTTTGCTTTTTAAATTCCCCATTGATTTCATTCTAAAAGTGTCAGTTTTCCAGAAAGCTGCTAAGAAAATAGAAAAAGCATGTTGAGTGTCATGGCTCATTCTCCTGACCCTAGCAGCATATCACTCAGGCCTGCTATTGAGCTTCCTCTTAATTGTTCTTCCTTTATGGCTCCATCGGTGACTTGTCACTGTTACTAAAAATAACTCTGCAGTGATATCAAAACCTGAAGTACTGAGCGCATGGCTGAAGAGTGTCTAGAGCAGCCTCTTTGGAAAATTAGGGCGGGTAGGGCACTCTCCCATGAAACAGTTAGGTGTCAACAGGGAGAGCAAGCACATTCTGATGTGCGCATAGTCTTTTGTAAGGAACATGAACTCCCAGATTCGCATCGTCAGTTCATTGATTCCAAAGGTGGGATGACTGGCATTTTGGGGGCATAGAAAGGGGAACTACAACTTTGTTATGGCAACTGCCATTATTCTTATGTATCCAAAGCCATGGTGCTGTTAAAGGCAATCTGGCCTCCTTTGTTCTATAGGAAATGTAACTTTCCTCTTCTTTCTCCTGATTCCCTTTCAGCATGGCTGAGGAAGGAGATGGCAGGCCTTGTATGATCTTCATCAAAATGTTGCACTGTGGAGTCCTTCCGAGTGCCAGGCAGTCACCCAGACGAGACCTTTTCCAGAATATTCCATTCACTTCCCCTCTCTTACCCATTTTATCTCTCTCTTTCCTCATCAGGGTAACTRAGCATGTCCTCCATGCCCACTTAGTCCTTATGGTTTGTGTCTCCTCTTTCATCCCATGTTAGGATGAATGGGTTTCTTTATGTCTGGTGTACTCCTGCACACTGGGGGGGGGGGGGTCCCTCAAGCTTTCCAATACTTCCCACATACATATTGATGGTGACATGTTGAAGATTGGCATTTCTGAGAATGAATTTACTTCCAGAACATTTGATTTTTGGGAAAGGTAGATGGAGATAGGCCGTTTTTTAATCATTTTGTGTTATTCAAGCATGCTTTGCAAATCATCTGAAATGTGTGTTATTTGTAAACATTTTATCTCTGTTTTTGCCTCTTATTGTGCAAATGAACACATTTGTTGGCCTAATGGGTAAAGGTTGATTTTCAACCGTTGTTCTCTCACTTTAGTTCAGCATTTATAGGTGGGAGATACCGTAGGTCAGAGCTCTGTCTCACTCAGGCTTGTGTTCTCTCTCCCTCTAGGACATTCTAGCCTTCCAGACGTTGTTGGATTATCACTCCTATCACCCCCATCAGCAGCCAAGCTGGCTGGGGCTTATGAGAGTTTGAGACTCAACAAAACTCTTGCACAGGTTCTCTTCTGGTCTTTCCACACAGCTCTATATCCCATAATATCAAGGCAGGAAATCCCACAATATCTGCTTTGAACTGGGTTATAATGTGGGATTTTTTTGCCTTGATATTCTGGGATATAGGGCTGTGTGGAAGGACCCTTGGTTGCTTTTGATGCTAGGTACTTTCCTAGGCAAGTGCAGTGTAGAACTTCTTTTAAAATCTTGAACTTCTGAGAATGTGTGGACTCCCATCAGGTTTTCTTCTCTTCTATTCCAGTGCCAGCTTCATTTGCCTCTCTGTGTTCTTGACAACATGATAGTTAAGCTAATGGTGACAAAGGTAAAGCAATACGCTTGAGGTTGGCAGCATTGATTTGGTGTGATATACAAGTAGGATTTTGAAGAAAACACAACAGCTAGAATTCTACATGGTTGCACATAGTATATGTGTTTTACATAGAGTATTCTACTATGGTTCTCCTGTCCCAAGGCTTACAGTTGATCTGCAATAGACTTTCATTTTTTCCCAGTGGAAATAATTATAAAATGAATATGCATGAAACACAGTTTTTTTCCTTGAAGTTGACAGCCCTTCTCAGTTTTTTTCGTAATGTGAAGATAAAAAGCACAATTGCATGGAGAAGTTTGCATGCCAATGGAAGGAGACCCCTTTTTGTCACTGCTCCGTGGGAATTCAGGAAGCACTTAATGTATTGGACAGCACAGTAAAGCTTTTACCTTTGCAGACAAGATTAGACTTGGCTGATAGAGTTAATGTAGTCAAGATCTAATGGCAGTGCCAGCAAAGGAGAAGGCTTTGAGGCGGGGAAGGGAACCAATTGGACTGTTTGCAGAGGAGCCAGAAACAGTTCTGCCACATGAATTTCAGGCTGTTAGCTCACTACTTCCCCTGGCACTCCTTTTTTAAAAGTTTGAATGCACTTGACTTGAACATTTAATATGTACCTTGATGGAGGCTGTTTAATAGGTTTCAGAGTTTTGTGCCTTATGTTAGAAATGATATTGGCTCCCTTCATAGGTCCTGAAACCTGAAATGAAAAGCAAGGATTGTCCACAGGCATCAGTAAGCACGCCTTCTTGTGTATTTACCAGTCCTTGGTTGCCTGGGAGGTTTGGTAATGGGAGCAACCAGGCTCTGTGCTGGTTTGAGCTATTTGTTCAACAATAGTTGTCTTTCAGAGCTATCTGTCTGCTAACTCTCTAATTCCCTTTCTGTGCCTCAGGTAGTCCAAGTTTCTCAATCTTGCTTAAGTTCCATAGAGGAAGATGGCTTACAATGTTCAGGCAAGTCAGGAAACTAACCTGTGTGAAAGAAAAACAGGTTGGAATAAGAGTCCATACCCTAAAAGCACCAGATCCCTTCTGATCCTGGAAGCAGAGCAGGGTCAGCCCTAGACAGCATTGGTTGTGAAACCGCCAACAAATAATAGGGGCTGTAGGCCATATTTCAGAAGAACAAAGCACCAAAGCTACCTCTGAATATTCCTTGTCTGAGAAAACCCAGTGACATTCATGGAGTTGCCATCAGACCGCAGTCAACCTGAAGGTGCACGCACACACTCACAAGTGTATTCCCATTGAACTTGAGAGCAGATTTCAGGGCAAGTCACAGCCAGGGGAAAAAAGCCATCTGACTTGTGCTGTCCTTCATTGGGTGGCAAATACCATATCTGTATTAGAAAGAAACTCCTTAAATTCCAGAGATGGTCAGTAAGAAAAAGTCTAACCTATTCCTATGACTAGTTAACAGTGAAGTGGTGCCTGTGCTTTACATATTTTACTGTCTCCGTTCTGTCGCCATAAACACTGTCTAGGCCAGACAAATGGAGCACTGGGTTGAGAGGTGGTGTTGCCCAGGACTATGTCAGGTGTTTGTGATATTGGAGCAGGATTGGAACAAGGCCAGTACCCTGTTGTCTGCTATACATTGTCATTCACCCCAGCCTTTGTTGGAAGCTTTATTTCAGCTAAAGCTATTCTCAAGAGTTCAGCTTCAGTTGTGTGAGCATCATAGAGCAGCCTTGGCTCAAATGGAAACCTGCCCACCAGCCTCATGAAGAGAGTCCCTAGAGTTTTGTTGGACCCGTGGCCCAAAAACTTTCCTTTCACAGAGGTGTTTTCTGTAGTGTAAGACGAGAAGCTGCTGGGAAGAGCCTTATTACCTATGGCCACAGCTTGGCTGTTTTATGCTTGCTCTTTTTCTTCGGGTGGATGAGGAACAAAATATTTCCTTGGTGAAGCTTCTTTAGACCCCGCTGCACTAGGTCTCCATACTTCTCTGAGCTGCTCAGGTGTGCTCTTGGCTATCCTGGCTAGTGATGGTTTGCTTTGGGTTTTTGAAAGCGTGGCTTAGTTGAGTCTGCTTTTCCCTCTGGGCAGGATTATGACGTCTAAATGTAGCTCTCGGGGGTGACTGGCAGCTCCTACCTAGAAAGCGATGCACAAACCCTTGCAGTTTCTCAGAACTTGATTTCAGTTTCCTGGAGGGATTACCACCTGAAAGTCTGTCTGGCACTAATCCTATAAATCCGTAAACTGCAAACAAAGGTGCACTTAGTCGTTTCCTCCTCTTCCCCTTCATCTTGCCAATGACCACAGTTCCCCCAGTGCACTGGTATTTTCACAGCTGTCAATTGGACTGCAGAATTTAGAAGAGTATCTCAAACTCTGAAGTGTCGGTGGCTGAGCTTTCTGTCCCTTTGCGGACCTCTCTGTGCTTGGGGACATTTTGGTGGGGCTGTGCTTGTTTCATTCTAGGAGAACGAGATTTGACCTCAAAGTGAAATGCGACATCTCACTTTTTCCTTTCTCTCTCCAGCAGATTCACTGGATGCCAGCATGGCAGCATCGAACCTGGAGAACCAGTTGCATAGTGCTCAGAAGAACCTGCTCTTTCTCCAGCGGCAGCATGCTGACACCCTCAAGGGCCTGCATGCTGAGATTCGACGCCTGCAGCAGCACTGTACAGGTAGCAAGGCGCAAACCACATCCCTTCCATCCCCAGCAGTTTCCTCTGGAAGTGACCTCCCTTGCTTTTGTTCCTTTCCGTACTCACTCTCCAGACTATCAAGATCTTTTCCAAAGTGTTTCTCACATGCAGGTTCCATTCAGAAAGGCAAGCTTGGCCATTCTTCCAACAGGGAAGTGACAGGCCAGTCGACTTGGCAGTCCCAACAAAAATATAGGACAGCCTCCAGCCTTCTTATGATTGAGTGGATTGAATAAATGAAGTTTATTGTGATCATCACCACAGAGAAAATGCAAAATATTGCACTACCACTTAAAACAATATAAAATACAATACAGTATAAAGTACAATACAAGATAATAATATAAAATCATAATCCAGTCTTTTACATTATTCCCAAATGCTTACAGCAGCCTTATAGTAACAGCCAATTCTGCAACCGTATTAACTTTAAACTGCTTCACATGGATTATCGACCATCCTTCCCAAAGAGCAGCTCATCTTTTCCTCACTGCTCATTTAAACATGTTTCTAAAGCCTTTGGGCTGCATTTATTTTTGACTGCTGTCTCTATGGGTATCTATTTGTAACCTGGCTTGCATGCCTTTTGGACAGGCAAGGTAGAAATAAGATAAATCAATAAAAGAAAGGCCTTGGTGTGAGATCTGTCACTAAACTCCTTGAAGCAGAGGTTCATAAAAATATTATTTTCCAACCGATATAGCAGCAATTGTTTTCTACATTGTATCTGATGGTCAACTTTCTGCCATTTCCTAATTATGTGTGTTTTTCAGATCTGACATATGAGTTGACGCTCAAAAGTTCAGACTTAACAGGTGAGAGATTTCAACGCATTCCCTTTGGAGCTGGCAAGGATCCAGTGCTGAACTCCTTCTGTCATCCTCTCAGCAAGGATGGTTATATAGTGTATAAGTGTGTGGGGAGGGTTTATAAAGACTTAAAATAGTGTATAACTACTAAAATAATGTATAAATATTAAAATAAATATAGTCTCCCTACTTTGCGGATTTTCACTTTTCGTGGGTGGTCCTGGAATGTAACACCCACAATAAGTGAGGGAACATTGTACTTGGTAGTAGGAAGGCTAAGTGCCAGATCTGCCCCAGAGATCTCTTTTAAGGGAGCTTTGGTAGAAAAAAGCAGCTGAAGTGAAGGCAAAACAAGTAGAGTGGGATGAACCCCCAAGAGGTTGGTGGGAACCTAAACCTTCATAAGCAGGAAAATATAAGCCTTCAGCTACCAAGTCAGAGTGAAAGGTAAAAAAAAATATTCCTTGGAAAGTGTAGGGGCATAAAATAAATAAGGACTTCGACCTCCCGAGAAGATTTATTTTCCCCAAAGAAATTGCTATCTGTTTAACATACCTCGACCCTAGGATTTTGCCTGGGAATCCATGGCTAATGGTGCCTCTGCCTTGCATTAGTATGTTTATAATCTGTACTGTGTTTATACTGTGATTATACTTTCCTGATTTACACATCTTTGGCCCTACCGTATATCAGACATGCTGATTTGACAGAATGTCCTGCTGTTTTATGTCTTAGTTTGGTAAACTCTTCGAAGCTGGCAATTCTGACAGCTCTCTTAGACTCTGTTGAGGCCTGGTGGATTATTATGCCTTGAAACAGTCAAGTATTTGGGAGCATAGATTACATATTAGCCACTTTTCTCCCCAGTAGTTTTGTTACAATTTCACATCTGTTCCAAAATAGTAGAAGTGGCTATGTGCTATTTCTTTTACTTAAGCAAAGCAGATAACATTCCCACAATTTGAGAGTAGGCTTTGGATTCATAGCTGTAGGTCTCTGCAGTTGATTTTTACCTGCTGTAAAATGCTTTCTTTGCTGGCTTTTCCCAGAAAATGGAACCTCAAGAAGTGAAGAGCTCAAAAGAAAATGTGAAGAGCTTGAAGCCCAGCTTAAAGTGAAAGAGGCTGAAAACAATGAGTTGTTAAAAGAACTGGAGCAAAAAAATGCAATGATAATGGTGCTTGAGAATACCATCAAGGAAAGGGAGAAGAAATATTTAGAAGAGTTAAAGATGAAAAGTCATAAGTTAAACATGCTGTCGAGCGAACTGGAGCAGCGGGCGAGCACCATTGCGTACCTCACCTCGCAACTGCATGCGACAAAGAAAAAGCTCATGAGTTCAAGCGGGACTTCAGACAGCTCCCCTTCTGGAAGCCCAGTGCTGTCCAACTACAAACCGGCGCCTCCCAAAGATAAGCATTCAGATACTCCGCGACGTCGGATGAAGAAGAGCCTGTCCACTCCACTCAACCCGGAATTCGAAGAGGCCTACCGGTTAGGATCAGATAACCGCAAGCTGCTCTTACGGGAGCCTGTGGATGCGATGCCTGATCCCACGCCCTTTTTGCTGGCTAGGGAAACCACCGAGATCCACCTTATCAAAGAGAGGCCTTTAGTCATTCCGCCTATTCCCTCGGAACGCACTGCTGCGGAGCCCCAGAGCCCGGCCCGGGAAAAGCCTCACAAGGCCCATGTGGGCGTGGCGCACCGGATCCACCATGTCACACCACCCCAGGTTCAGCCCGAAGTGGAGACCCTCGCGGTAGATCAGGTGAATGGGAGCAAAGTGGTTCGGAAGCACTCAGGCACCGATAGAACTGTTTAAGCAAACTGTTCCGGGGGTGGCTCTGTTATGCACTGTGATCACATGTAGGGGTACTTGCACCTGAAGTCATTTTTCTCCCCCCTCAAACGCCCCCCCCCCATGCATGCCAAATTCTCTATCACTAGATTAACCTTCTTCAACGAAACCCCAATATGACTGTGTTCATATTGCAGAGTATCTACTTAATGAAATGCTGTGGCCAAACTCAGGTGTCTGCCTGACTGCTTGCTTCCAATGCTCCTTCATTTACTCAGATGTGTACCTTCTTGTGGGCAAAGACCCAAGCAACAGGCGCTATTCTGAATCAGTAGTAATGACGGAATCAATTAGCCTCCTCATGGTAGCCTTGCAGCACTTGTGTATCGGCCATTAATGGTTCAAGATATCCCTCTATTTATCGCTTCACAGTCATGATAAATTCTTCTTTGGGGACAGGGGGTGATGTTGACCACCTGCAGTGAAGGAAGACTAGCCGAATGAGGCCGTCCACCCCTCTGCAAGAAAAAAAATCCACCTGGTTTTGATCCCCATGTTCATATTTTCTGTTATGATTTTATTTAGAACTACTAAAATCCCAACAAACTCTATTTTGTTAATCCTGGCTGGTCTTGTTTTTGTGTCCTTTGTTCAGTATTTGGGAAAGTCGCTAATAATCGCCACCAGCTATTTTCCTCCGGGACAGAAGCATGGAAAGGGGGGATATCAAGCCATGAAAGACAGACCCTGTAGATACGCAAAATCCTGCATCCCTACAGTGTAGTGTAAATAGCCATTGTCAGAGTTACGTTACATACCTCCTGCACCGAATACCAACATAGTGCAACATATGCTAACCTCCAAATATGAGCTAGTTACCTCTACCTAGAACAACTCCTAGTGCTATCAATCCAAAGAGAATATGTAACTGTTTAATCTCTTCCTCTTTTTAACAGATTTTTTAAATAGAAAAAGACATGGTATATGACATTTGGGGGTCAGGGGCGGGTAGAGGATGGAAAACTCAGATGGGTTACAAGTGAAAGATGTCTTTAAAAAATCTATAGAAGAGGCAAGATGATTCCATGATGAAAGAGTAGGCAAGAAGCAAACTCTAAATGATTTTTTGCCATAGTGGATGAGGAGTTAGCCATTTCAAAAATCCTCTTACGTCTTCCAAAAGTCTCCTTCAGTCATCGTTGGAAATTAATTTGAAGTTTAACCCCCCCTCCCTCCCCAAAAGCACTGATAACACAGCAGAAATGATCTTAATCTTTCTTGGAGGCATAAAAACCAAGTATTATTTCCCTGAAGAATGTTTACGAAAATCAGTTTTCAGGGGTAACCATGTCAGCTTGTTAAAGCAAACTCAGCTTAAAGAGTAAAACCCACAACAGCATAGAAGCTTTGTGCCATAAACATTTCACCAGATGCATAAAAAGATATTACCCTGGATTGTAAATACGTAGCATTGGTGGGGAGAGGGCAAGCAAGGTCAAATGGAACAAAACGCAGAAATTAGAGAAAGTAACAATTATATCCTTAATTGTGGTCTTTCTCAAGGCAGTTCTTGCTAACATAAACATTGCATTTTGCCGCAACAAACTTATGTAATACTTATTTTAAAATCAGCTTATTTTCAAAATAAAGGAAATAGAAATGAACTGCTCAGTTCAGCTATCTATTCTAACCTTCATTTCCATTATATTTTGTTCAAGAGTCCTTTCAAAGTGAGTTTCAGTAGTCAGGCTCCAATGTTCACCCTCTAGTTTTAATGTTGCCATTTCTGATGTCAAATCTGTATTGATTTAGTTTTCTGTTCAGAGGCTGCCCTATTTGTACAATGTAAAAAACAGGACAGTTTTGCTGACAGATGATGGAATATACCATTGGATTATGATGGCATTTAAGATCCGATTATGACATTAGGCTCAGTCAAATTGTTTCCAGAGTAAATATGGGAACAGAATTAGCATGAGTTTGTTGTGGCCAATAGGCAGTACCTTCGCCTGGGGTTTGCAATATCAGTTGTGGACAGCCACCCAAAACTTATGGAAGTAGAATGTCAGTTTTCAGAATGGTCTGCAACTAATTGATGATGTCAGTGATTCTGTGTGAGCAACAGATGGCAAATGTTCTGCCATTACCCCTTCCAAGTCTGTCCTGTAGGGCATCATTCATTCCTTGTTGAAAAGCTAATTGTTGAAAAAAAAATTAAGCAGGAGTGCTTTGATTGTGCTTTCCGGCATGGCAGATTGAAGTTGGGCTGGATGGCCCTTGGGGACTCTTCCAAGTCTGTGATTCTATTATTCTATGTAGTGGTCAGTATGTTTGCTGATAAAAGGCATGTTGAGTCTATCTTACATGCGCAGGAGGATCCATCAGGCGAAGCCATTGTGTGGACCGAATGATGTTCAGCTTGATGGCTAATTTACGTTTTCAATACTGCTGTACAACTGCAACACCTACACATTGGCTGGGATCCTCTTTTCTTTTTTTACAGGCCTGTGTCTTTCTTGGGATGTTGCACAAGGGGATAATTGCTGCCTCTTTGTGACCCATCCAAACAGACACATTTCCGCCTCTTTCAAGCTCTGGGAGCACAACTCTCGCCATTTCCTGGCCATCCATCCCAGCTACAGTTCTGTGGCTGGAGGAGAGAGCAGAGGTTACTCCCACAGATCTCTAGCAACTTGCAGAACCACAACTGGATGCTGCCTGGCCCAGGGCTTGAAAGCCTCGCTGCCATATGTCCAACTCTGCTTCTACAAACTTGAACTGACATCTTATGGGAAAGAAAGTATCTCGCCATTTCTGTAGAACAGCTTCTGCATGCATAGGACACCAACAGGATTCTGATCCATATGTATCAATTAGCTAACACTTATAGACTGGTATTGGATAAACAAGAACAACTACTGGGTGAATGACCACTGTTAAGAATGCAATTGTCACTGGCCATATCAACCCATTTCATTTCCTTCTGCACTTAGTGTTTGCTCACCCCTGCCAACCACATGCATCATGTATCTAATGACAGACCCTAGCCTATGAAAGCTTATGAAAATTATAATGTGTTGTAGTCTTTTGTATTTTCAAATATCTTTGGGGCTTAAAAAAAAACCAAATCGGATTTGTTGCCTGTGCTGTACAAAACACAGTTCTTTATTTTCAAACAAATGAAAGTATTTAAATATTTGTAAAAATCTTGAATTATGCTAGGTAAACACAAATGTTCTTCAAAATCACAACCGACAGTCTTCCAAAGGTAGAAGCAAGTGGAACTGAATGAATTCTGTGTGTGGCTTTTTAATATATTTCCCCCATCCACAGAATTTGCACCAAGTTCTGCTCCTAATCGGCATTCAACAAGAGGCAAACCCCTTGCAGCACCCAGTGAGAAATATGCTTTGTAGTGAAAAGATCGGCTTCGAAAACCAGGCCCACGCCCATAGCGTTCCTCCGCATGGATGTTGTGTACACTGGGGTCCGGAAAGTGTTCTGACAGGAAACAAATAAGAGGATTTACTACATACCTGCAAGCCACCATCGTCACACATAAGAATTACTTGCCTTGTCTACTACTTCAATATATTATAAAAACGAAGCTTTGTAGGTAGGCAAATTCAAAAGAGTGGGGTTTTTTTCGCTATAGAGCAGACCATAATGGGAAAAGAGGGCATGGCATTCTAAATATGTATGAAGATGAAAGTGCTTTTATAATTATGGTGAAATGAACTGCAATGGGAACCTGGGATAAATCATGCACAACAACATGCTGATAAATGTTTTCTAATGTACTGATGCACTTAGGAGTGAACGGGAAGGCTGGAACAGTCACATTCCAGTTTTTGAAAGCTATCTAGTATTTTCTGGGATGAAGGGGAACATTCAGGAAAAAGGAACTGCACCCACAACTATGTTGAAAAGTGTGTGAACTGTATGTAAACAGAAAATCTTGACTGTAAGTAGGAGAAAGGATTCCTGCATCAGGTTATTCCACGTCGCCTGGAATTAAATAAAGACCTAAGACCTGCTCTTGGCAGCTTGTACCTGTACTTTGAGACAATGAGCTTCAATGGGGATTATTTTCAGGATGGGCAAGTTGACAACCAGCACTTTGGGCTTACTTTTGATAAGGCAGCCATTTTCAAGGTCCCAGTCGGCTCCTTCCAGGTACAGGCCAGAAACAAAGCATCCTAGTGAAACCCGGAAACACAATATCTGCATGAATTCACTTGCAAAGTCAGATATCATTTTAAATATATCATGAGACTGACTACATTACTGAATAAGGCCTTGGTTTATGCTAGGTAAAGGTAAACATTTTCCCTGACATTAAGTCTAGTCGTGACTGATTCTGGGGGATGGCGCTCATCTCCATTTCTAAGCTGAAGAGCCGTTGTCGGTAGATGCCTCCTAGGTCATGTGGCTGGCATGACTGCATTGAGTACCGTTACCTTCCCACCGAAGCGGTATCTATTGATCTACTCACATTTGCATGTTTTCAAACTGCTAGATTGACAGAAGCTGGGGCTAACAGTGGGAGCTCACCCTACTTCCCAGATTTGAACCGCCATGCTTTTGGTCAGCAAATTCAGCGGCTCAGCTCTTTAACCCACTGTGCCACCAGGGGCTCCCATGGAGAAATTACAACACATGCCTAGATCAGGCTGGTACAACCAGCTTTATTAGTAACTGAAACTTGTAACATAAACTGTAGTCCTTACTTTCAATCCGTCAAGCAAATAACCTCTTAGAAAAATCAAATTCACTGTTCTACAAATTTTCAGTTTTTCTCAGTTACGGAAACGAAATGTGCCGTTTCTTAATAAATTTAACATGCTGAATTCAAATATAATAATTAAATGTGTTAATTGGCTCTGGTTTTTATGCAACAGCTATTTCAATTTTCTCCACAATAGGTAATTCGTTAATATTATGATAATGCACCTAACCTTACTGCATGTATATAAACCGTGAATATTTACTAAATTGTAGTCAAATTATATTGCCAATAGTTTATACATGAGAAATATTTATTTAATTAGTCTATTGTTTATGTTAGTGCAGCAAGAAACTATATTAGTAGGCCTAATGCAGTTGAAAAGTCTGAAAGTTTAAATGTCGCTTTAATCGTGACTTTAGTTTATATCCTGTTTGCTTATCTTGACTTTTCTTTTGTATTCAAGGAAAGGATTGTCTCTTACAATGCTCCAGCAGCAGTCTGACAGCATTGACGGAGTCCATTTGCCTTGATACCTTTTTTCCATAATGCTTTATTTACACACGTGTGAGGCATAACTACAGTAAAAAGAACAATGTAAAACGATGTTTAACGATACTGTCTCAGTCTTCAACTGACTGACCCTCACCGTTCAAAAGTCTGGCCTTATATAGGGCTTTCTGGCTTTTGCACATGGCACTAATACTGCGTCATCAAACTTTCTAGAGTATTCTAGAATCTTCCATAGTGTAAGTCGCAACATGCATTTTTTCAACCATACATGATGACGTGATTGCTTATATCATAAAAACTAGAGCCAATATCCATTTTTAAATGTCATTTTCGTTTTCAGCACCCCAAAATAATAAAAGAACAGCTATTTTCAGGCCCGCAACTTTCTAGAATCTTCCATAGTGTAAGTCGCAACATGCATTTTTTCAACCATACGTGATCACGTGATTGCTTATATAATAAAAACTAGAGCCAATATACATTTTTAAATGTCATTTTCATTTTCAGCACCCCAAAATCATAAAAGAACAACTATTTTCAGGCCCGCAACTTTTTCTCCGTTGAACAGTGTTACTGCTAACTAACTAAAAGGGAGAGTGTGGCTTGTTCCTCCCATCATTCCAGAAGGATTATTCTTGTTTTATTCTATTGAATCCCACTCCCTGGAAGCCAGGAAGTCCTCTTTAGCGTACACATCCTGTTTGCAACAAACCAACGTTCCTTATCCAAAGGACACTTCAAATGCATTCCCACAGGACCAACGCTTCAAATGGTTATACCTTGTCCAGGGCGCTCTGTGACCTCTTCTGCAGTCCTGTATTTGGTCACTTGGGTGTACAGGGTGGAGCGGTCCAGAGGCCAGCTATTCTTCCGGCAGGTGGCCTGAACAAGTGCAGTCAGATATGACTCTGGGATGTGAAGTCCTGACAACCACATGATGCTCGGTTCACCCTCCTCAACCTGAGAACACAAAACCAATTGGCTGAATCCTTCCCAGCTTAAGTCACCATGTCCAACATTTCACATGCCTAACTCTGGTTTTGGAAATGGCCCTTAGCTCACTGTAGACATGAAATAATGCACACGTCAGCTAAAGATGACTAGAACACAGGAAGCTGCCTTTTATCAGTGCAGACTATCTGGCCATCTGCACCAGCGCTTTTTAAACAGTGGGTCCCAACTCCATATGGGGTCCCCTTAGCATAATGTTGGGGTTACAAAAAAAATGGCGGCAGTAAATGTTTTCTGAACGCCATCTAGTGGCTGCTGTAGACATTTACATGAATCTGTTAACAATGTGCTAACAGTGTTTACAGTAGGCTGCAGAAAATGCTTCAGCTGCATTCCACAAAATGTTCAGCAAATGCTGGCTTGTTATAAGGAAATTTTTGGTTTTTATACCAATTTTATATACCTATATATCTGAGGACATATAAAAAAATTCAGCCAGGAGAGGGTCACAAGTGGAAATTGTTTAAGAAGCCCTGATATAGACAAGTAATGGCTCTCAAGAGTCCCGTCTCTCACCTGGACCCTCCATATGCAAAGTATGCGCTCTACTGCTGAGCTACAGCCCTTTCCAAATTAAATTTCAATTGCATTGTATACTTACCCATGAGGTGTACTGAAGATACTTTTTCTTAAAGTCAATCATCCAGTTGCCAAGTGTTTTCAGTGTGTCAGGGGCCAGTTTTCTCCAGATGTTTGGGATGTGCCCATTGAAGAGAGCACGGGCCACTTCGTCTAGTTCATTGCTCATTCCAACTTCCCCAGCCAAAGCCTAGTAAAAAAAAAATGCCATGGAAAATTTGTTAAATTAACAATAAAAAAGAAAGACAAGCAAGATGAGTTCTTTTCCCCCAATATCTTTGCTTACTCTCTGCAATTCAGCCAGTGACTTTGTCATACGAATCATGAGTCTGTTAAAGCGTTCTAGTTCCTGAAGTAACACCACTGTTGTTGGTGTAATGTCCATTCCAAAGCTCTTTCTTATCTGATCGATATCAAAGATCTTGGGCATCTTGTTCTCTATGTCTTTCGCAACCTGGCCAATGTATTCATCCCAACTGATCCCAGTACTGGATTCACCTAAAATTAATGAAATTTGCAGACATTAGATTTTTGCTTGGTTTGAGGAAAAATTCATACAGATTGTATTGTGCCCAATCTCTTCTCAATCTCTCTGGTTTTCATCTTCTGTATCAAACCAGAATGAACCTTCGTGGTAAGTATCCAGTTCTTAGAACTACACTGAGTACTGCTGAGGGCTTTCATGGCTGGAATCATTGGGTTGTTGTAAGTTTTTCGGGTTGTATGGCCATGTTCCAGGAGCATTCTCTCCTGACGTTTCGCCTGCATCTAAGGCAGGCATCCTCAGAGGTTGTGAGGATGCCTGCCAGAGACCTCGCAACCTCTGAGGATGCTTGCCATAAATGTAGTCAAAATGTCAGGAGAGAATGCTTCTGGAACATGGCCATACAGCCCGAAAAACTTACAACAATCCTCCACTGAGCACTTTTGGTCTGTGAGAAAACTAAATGCAATATGGAACCTGCAGACATATTTTATTACTGGGCTCTAAATAATCTGTAGTTCTCTCCATCATCAAAACATATTATAGGTACTGCTCTCTACTTCTAAACATACATTTATAAGATCACTTTATTTGATGACCTAATTCGTTTCACCCAACCTCGTTTCACAAAATCTATGCAGATGACTCATTCCATAATATGCTTTAATTGTTTTTGTGTTCATAATCAGGCTGAGAAGTTCCAGTATTCTTATAGTCTCATGACGTGTTTTCATTACCGTACATTAATCTATAACAGTCTTTACAGATTGTATAAATCCAACAAATAGGTTTTTTGGGAAGATGCTGAGAATATTCCAGCTACAATTCTGTTTTATCATTAAATTACACTTCCCAGAATTTCAGAAAAAAACACCATAATAGAGAATCAATTATAAAATTGGTTGAAATTTGTACTGCTTCATGTCTTTTTTTGGGAGGGTGTCTGAAAGTTTTCAGAAAATTGCAGAAAATGGAGCACAGCAATAAACATATGAAAAGCACGTGCTAACATGAGTTGGTGACCATTCAGTGATCGCAGGCATGGATTTCTTCCATAAACTTGAAGAATTTCAGTATTGATTCAGACCTCACTGAAAGTGGCAGACCGGTGTACCTGTTTGAGGCTGTAGCTCCAGAAGGTGTGACCACATGTCCCGCGCTGTCTGCGTGTAGTATCCAATCTCAGCATTGGAATGGAGACCAAACACTTCTTGGGTATTAGCAAGTGGAAGGGACTCAATCTCTTCCGCAAAACGAAGAGAGAAAGGGGAAAGGGAAGGGGCAGAATAAAAACAATGTGGCAGTCCCACTCCCTTCTGTTAAGGTTGTCACAAGCAAGGAGATGCCTGGGTTAGATATTTTGGATGTGGGTGAACTAAAACCCCTAAAATCCTTTGTCAAACCCCTCCAGTGTTTTAAGATGGTCATGATGGGTATGTGTGGCAGGTTTGGTCCAGACCCATCTTCAGTGGGGTTCACAATGATCTCTGGATGTGGGTGGATTCAGACTCCTATGATCCTGAGTTACCCCCCCCCCAAAAAAAAACCCACCAGTACTTAAAGTTGGTAATGGGAATATGTGTGCCAAGTTTGGTCCAGATCCGTCATTGGTGGGATTAACAGTGCTCTCTGGATGTCGATGGACTACAACTCCCATCATCCTGAGTCAATTCCCTCCACCTCCACCCCCAACCCCCTTCAGTATTTAAAGTTGGTCGTGGGGGTGTTTGATCTAGATCCATTGTTAGTAGGATTCACATGGCTCTCTGGTTGTGGGAGCCGCTTGGAAAATACAAACATGCATAGATTGATGGGTGGACGGATGGATGAGTAGATAGATATAGATATTTTTACTTTTTTACATACATAGAAATATATCTATAGATAACCAGTAAGCCCCAATGAAAGAAGGACGATAAAGGCCTAAAGAAGACCAAGATTGTACATCATAGCCTACATGTTAACTCTACAAATCCATAGCTACAGTGCAGAAAGGTAATAAAACCCAGTGACTGAATTGTGAAGATTAGCATTTAGGCACTGGCAAGAGTGCTTTGAGGCATATCACTTGCCCCTGATGCACATTGGTACCCATGGTGCATCAGTCGCTCCACGGGCTATCATGTGCGATGTATGCCCACATATTGTAATGCAACAGCAGGAGCTGGGTGAATACAGATGTTGGGAAATTACTCATCCACGTGAGTCCACTTATAAAGGTCTCACTCAAAAATCCATCTGAAACCAACAAGAGTGCTAAAGGAGACCCTTCATAAACAGAGGCTGCTTTCAGTGTTAAGCATTTGTACAATTAAGCATTGCAGCATCTTCCCATTATGAGCATAAATATCTCCATAGCTTGCGGACTTTGGACAGAAGCTCTGAAGCCTCCTGGGATCAGTACTGGAAAAGAGCCAGAGCCAGAAACACATTCCAATCAGCCTAGCATAGGGTTGTTGTAGGTTTTTCTGGCTATATGGCCATGTTCTAGAAACATTCTGGTTGCAGAGACTGAGATGACTAAATCAAATTTTCATCAATTTCATTGAAAAACCATGAACCACAAAATGAATTGCATGTGGACCAAAAAGAAAAAAAATCCCACAACAGTAAAAGTTAAAGGACACAGTTTATAATAGGCATACAGTTTTACACCCAAGAATGCCCGAGGAATTATGGCTAACCTAGGACCCAGTAGAAATGCATATGATGTAGCAACTTTTTTGGTGAACCTAATTAAATCAAATCCTACCAATGTTTAGATAGAAAAATGCTACATTCAGTTCTATGGAAGACAATGGGATATAACTGTTGTCTTTCCACAACTACCCTATAAAATGACAAACAAAACAAAATTAAAACTACACAATGAAAAGAGCAATGTGAAGTCTCTCCAACACTCTTAAATGGAATGGTTAGCTGATAAATGGACAAGAGAGATCACTCCCCCTGCCCCTTTAGAAAATGGAAGAATTTAAGGCAATTTATTACTTCTGGAATGCTTGTAAAAGTTTTCTTTGTTGGCTCAGCTATCATCAGCTCCTAACTTTTGAGGGGTGAACCTAATACATTCAATAGTTTAAGCAAGGGGTCCTCAAACTTTTTAAACAGAGGGCCAGGTCACAGTCCCTCAAACTGTTGGAGGGCCAGATTATAATTTGAAAAAAGCATGAATGAATTCCTATGCACACTGCACATATCTTATCTGTAGTGCAAAAAACACTTTAAAACAATACAATAATTAAAATGAAGAACAATTTTAACAAATATAAACTTATTAGTATTTCAATGGGAAGTGTGGACCTGCTTTTGGCTGATGAGATAGGATTGTTGTTGTTGTTGTGTGCTTTCAAGTCGTTTCAGAGTTAGGCTGACCCTGACCCTGAGGGCCGGGTAAATGACCTTGGAGGGCCGTATCCGGCACCCGGGCGTTAGTTTGAGGAACCCTGGTTTAAGCTAACATGTAGCTTTACCATAATTAACTATTGCTTGAGTTCCAGACATATATAATACAACATCAATAATACAGGAGGGTGGCACTGTTTTGCCAGCCAGCCAAATTTGCCCACCTGTGTAGTTAATGACCATCGCTTTGGCAAACACTGATGGTGAATATTTAGGATTGGCCAGTTTGGTGTTCAAGTAAGCTTGAAATTGCTGTCATAGTCAACCTCCTTGTCACGAAGAATGATGTAGGTTCGGCCCTGGCCAGTTTTGATGTTTTTTTCCAAGACATTATCTATCACAGTGTCAATGTATTCATCCACATCATGGAATAAGAAGGGGTTCCCATATTTTATGGCCATTTCAAGTTGTTTAAGGAAATCAGGGTCACTGAAGGATGACATCTGAGAGAGAACAAGAGACATGTCTGTATAACAAAAGAGAATGTGTATTTTCTGTGAAAGGCTCCCAGGACGAAAGGTAGGCAACCATCAACTGTATAAATAAGCATATGTGACACAGGACACATAACACTGGTCAACATACATTTTGGTGAGCCCTGCTTCAGAGTAAATTTGACCTGCTGATTCCATGGCACCAGTTTCCCCCTATCAGCTCTAAATTTTGATATGCAGAACATGTGGCATCTACCTGTTGCCATCTGCTTGCCCACAGAAAACCAGGATAGCCCTATCTAAGAAACTAGAGCTGATGTTTTTATGAGATTGTTTTTATGATGTTTGGCATCCTATGATGCTTTTGTGAGGCCACCCTGAGTTCCCCCTCGGGGGTGAGAAGGGCAGGATAGAAATATAGGAAATAAATAAATATTCAAAGCAATGTTCTGAATCAGCACCCCAAATAATCCCAGGCACAGGCCAAAAAACCAAGACACCAAGATTTTCTTCTTGTCGGGCAGAGATAGGACAGAAAACTATGAAGTCTGGCTAGAAGCTAAACTAATGAGCACCAAAAAGGATGCTTCACAAAAAGGTGCTGCAATATACTCAGTCCACCCACTGGCTTCATCTCTAAAGGCAATGAGAAGAACCTAGGATTTGCAAAGCTGTGTCGATTTGAAAATGGGAGGAAGAGTTCTGACCTACCTGCTAATCTCAACATCATCCATCAGCAGGTTTTCCAACTTGAAAGGCTGGCTGAGGGGAATTTCTGGGATCTGGATATCCGTCTGCCACACGTCCTTAATAATTTCATCACAAAATTCCCAGGTGAAGGCGGCACACAGGAGACAGTCCCCAAGCAGCTTCACTTGACGTCTCTTTAATTCCTCCAAATCATTCAGCCATCTGATTAAAAATTAACCAAAACACATTGATGCGAGTAAATCCATTTACGGTTACAATGATAACAATGAATGAAGAGAAAGCCTGGGATCCCACTGCCCCAGGAATGAGAGAGGGAACTGACAGTGAAGGTTCACTCTGGGATGGATGTGTCTCTTTAACCATCCCATTTTCACCAAAAAAAACTTCAAAAACACTTGCTTCCACTGACCTGATATTTTCAGATCCCAAGCCTGAGATGAGCTTGTTAGCAGCAATAAGCCACCGTTCCATAATCTCAGCTTCCTCCTGGAGCTGCTGCTTTCCTCTTATCGCCACTTCATATTTATCTCCCAGAGCTTTCAGCTCATTCTGGATGGCCGTCAGCTCAGCTTGGATCTTCTCCAGGTCACATTTGCTTAAGAAGAAATTCTGCTCCAGTCTGGCCACCTGCAGGGAGGAAAGACAACTCAGAAGATGGGGGCTCCACACAAACTGCCTCCAGCTCATCATGACTGCCACCAGCTCACCCAAAAGTTAACCACACTCTTCCAAAAACTTTGTAGAATGTTAAACGTTCATCCAGGCAGCTGGTTCTCCCAGCAGGCAGCAGTTCCATCCCAGGAAAACAATCTATACAAATACAACTCAAAAATGGTAGCCAATGGACTAGTGCTGTTAGCCACCGGTCTGCAGAACATTTCCAAGAAAGAAACAGTTGTACTCAATGGATGTAAATATGGTTCCAAGGTTTCCCCTGACAGTTGTGTCCGACTCTGGGGGTTGGTGCTCATCTTCATTTCTAAGTCGAAGAGCTGCTGTTGTTGATAGAGGCCTCCAAGATCATGTGGCTAGCATGACTGCATGGAGTGCTGTTACCTTCCCGCCGGAGCGGTACCTATTGATCAACTCGCATTTGCATGTTTTCGAACTGCTAGGTTGGCAGATGCTGGGGCTAACAGGAGAAGCTCATGCCGCTCCCTGGATTCGAACCTGTGACTTTTGGGTAAGCAAGTTCAGCAGCTCAGCAGTTTAACCCACTGTGCCACCGGGGGCTCCTAAAAATATGGTGCTAATCCCTGGCATATTGAGGAGCAAATCCTGCCAGCTCTCAACAATGAACAGCTTAAGAAGCACTGGTCTATTCTACTGAAATGGCATTATACAGCTGTCCCTTCATTTTCGTGGGTTTACAGATGCAGCACGGTTATGAAAGTGGAAAAACGATTAATATTTCAGGGGACCGGGAGAGGGGTGGTCCCAGAGAAAGAGGAGGAACACTAAGGCATGCACACTACTTTGCTTAACCTTAGGAACCCAGATCCTTTGTCTGTGTGCCACAAGTGTCTTTTTCGCCTGGACGAAGGAAAGGAGATACCGAGAAGAACACAAATATGTGACAAACAGGAAGAAGAGGCTGCTCCTGCAACAATATTTATCTGGCAGATCTGGTTTGCTCTCCTCTTCCTATGTGCTGTGTGCTTCCCCCAGGTACTTCCTTTCTTATTCCTGGGAGAAACAGACATTCATGGAACATAGCAAACGGAAGATGGGTAAGATCTGCAGGTTAAGTGAAGTGGCACATGGAGACAGCTTCTCCTTTTCCGCTGTGCCATGAGTGCATGTTTCACCCAGGTGAAGGAAGGGAGGTACTGGGCAAAACAAACACATGGAACGATGGGCCTCTTGTGTGAACCTTCATATGCCAGCCCAAACTGGCATAGGGGTAGCATTTCAGGCTTGTGAATAATAAAACCATAAGTGTAAAACCCACTAAAGTAGAGAGACAGCCATAATAATGCCCTGAAAAATATTCTTGAATGTGTAGCCACTTGCTTCACTGGCACAGGGTAGGTATCTGCTAGTAGCTGTGGAGTGGGAAATACAGAAATGCCTAGATTGCCTAGGGACAACAGCAGTTTCTAGGGCTTTCCAGGTGTTCTGGACTTCAGCTCTAAGAATTCCTGACCACTGGACAAGCTGGCTAGGGCTTCTGGGATTTGGAGGCCCAAACACCCGGAGGGCCACAAGTTTGACACCTCTGTTCTAAGGGATAGATTAAACTAAAGGAATGAATCACAGGCTCTGGAGCCAGATATGACTACCTTGGGGTCCTAATCCCACACCTCTGAGCTTCCCTAGATGCTCCATGACCTTTACTGTTGGTAATTTGCCTGCTTTGCATCTTTTCTCCCATTTTAAAAGATTGCTAAAATATTCTCTTTTTGGTCCTATCCTCTTGCCATTGGACTCACTCACCACCAGAATGTCCCCCTCCCCTGAACATTTCTAAAACTGAATTCAGCCTTCAGGTTAAAAGAGGCTCCCCATTGCAAATTATCATGTTATAGGGATAGTTCTTTTCTGCACCCTACATTCACACTCTAAGGGCCCAGAATATCAAGGCAGAAAATCCCACAATATTTGCTTTGAACTGGGTTATCTGTGTCGACACTCGGATAATGTGGGATTTTCTGCCTTGATATTCTGGGATATAGGGCTGTGTGGAAGGGCCCTAAACCAACTGCTACGCCAGTTCTGATGATGCAACTGCTACACCATGTGCATTCTGAACCTTCACCTAGTTCCACGATTCCCTCTTGTACCTTTTCTCTTCTTGGCTTGACCTCCTTTGCTACATCACAGTAACTCATAACAGCATCAACAAATTTCAGCATCCCCAAGCCAGCTCTGCTCACAACTTCCATTTCTTCAAAGGTTGTGTTTAAGTTCTTGAGAAGCCCTTCAGATTAAGAATCAGAGTAGTTAGTTGATTTATGCTCTGTTTTTTTCACAAGACAGCTCATAACATCTATGGAAGGCAATGGATACATTAGAGCCATACACCTGATCAAGTGCCTGGCACAATCTTTGCACACCTCCCTTTCTACTCATGTTTCCCTATTCCTAAAGAAGCGGAATCCCTGAACAATATGCTGCACCATTTGCAGTATCAACCTGTGAGATTCAGTTCCAAGTGCACAATGTATCCTGCCGCTATGCTGAGCAATTTACCTCGGARTGATTTCACTTGGGCCTGGGTAATACTATCAAAATCAATTTCCATSAGSGAACGCAAGAAGTTGGCCTCTGACATCATCCCTTTGGCATTCTTCCAGTMGAGCTCCTTGTAGCCTCTCATGATGAYAATGCACTCYCAGACAGTCTGCACCTGCTTAGGGGGCTTAGCAAAAGACCTKAAATTAAAATAAATAAAAGATAKAKAATCAGGCCAAWSAAGCATTYTTGTCATCTGAATAATGTTGACACTAAAATGAAGAGACTCTGAATAGCCTTCCTTTATGTTTTCCTGGTTTATTTTTMACTTGATTYAATTGCACTTCCYACATCTCTCATTGATCATATGCCAGGATGCTGCTTTCATGATATCCTGGGCAATGTTACTCACTTAATCCTTGACACAAGACTCTGAGCCCCAGAACAGTGCAGATTCACAGGCCACATGCCCATGACAAATCAAGAGAAACTCTATCCAACCTCAAACCCAGGTAAGGGCAACCTGATGGACTACAACTGCCTGGATGACAGCTAACAGACTGAAACTCAGTCCAGACAAGATGGAAGTACTGTGGGTGGCACAAGTGGTGCCCATATTCTTCTTGGAAGGGATGTTCCCTAAAGATTCAGGTTCAAAATATGGAGTTGCTAACTGATCCACAAACAGGTACAAAAACTGATCACCAGTGAGGAGTCTTCCAGCCATTTCCAAAGCTGTACAATTTTTTTTAATGGGATACAACTCCCCAAATTGCCCAGCACTGGCTGGCAGAGCCAAGGAATTATACTCAATAGATGTAATTTTGGCAACATGTAGACATTTCTATGTGAAATCATCTCTGAACGAATACACTGATGACAGCTTGAGTACCTGATCTCAGTCACATCGGACTTATCAAGCTTCTGCAATTACAGTTTTGCTGCCTCCAAAACTGGCATGGCCTCTGCCAGGGCTGTCTCAGCTTCCTTCTTCTCCATTGGAATGGCTTTGTTCTGCTCTTCTATTTCAGCCGCTTTTTCTACTGCTAGTTTTTTCTTTTCCTCAGCTGAGAAGAGACAGTGGCTTTACCGGTTTGCACATTGCTGCAATACCATCTTTATAACAACAGTGTGGGATTAGATAGATAGATAGATAGATAGATAGATAGATAGATAGATAGATAGATAGATAGATAGATAGACTAGATACAGATACACACATAGGAGGGATATGCCAAACTGGAATGGATTCACAAGGGAAGAAATCTCCAACAGGTATATGAATGAGACAGGACAGTGCTTTTGCCCTTCAGTTCCAACATAAGCCCCCATGCAATTACCTCCCCTAAGGTGGGGTTACAGTTAATTTCATTAGGTTCTCTGAAAAGAATGATTTTTTTAAAAACACAATTAAATGCATGGTCAAAATGCTATAGTTCAAACTTTTTTTATAAAGGGAAAATCATTCATGAAGTAAACTCAAAGAGAAGGCAATCTGGGGGTCCCAATCATTTTTAGAAGAAAGAGAACCTTGTGAATGCAGATTTATAAGGTGACTATTGCAGAAAGCAAAATGGATTCATCACATAAAAATGTCTAGAAGTTATCTATACGTTGCCAGGGCATAGACCTGAATGAAAGATCATTGCCAGCACTTTTGTCAGAGATCGAAGTAAACTCTGACGTATGGAACAGATGTACTGAATCCTAGTGCACTCAGAAGGGACACTTACCAATTGCAGTGTTGGTTGCAATCTCTTGGAGCAAGGCTTCACACGCCACTGTTTTCTCTGCCAGCACCACCTTTTGCTCAGCAAGCCTCAGGTTGAGTTCATCAAGCTGAATTGTTGCTTCTTTAAGCTTGTCTAAACCACCCTCTAGACGTTTGCACTGAGCTTTAGAAAAGAAGGGAAAGCTTTACAATGAAGGTAGCTGCTGTTCGTGCTTTCCTTAAGATATGGCTGCCTTGGCATCACACGCCAAACTTTGAAAACACTCTTAACGTTCATAACTGATGGCAGAGGTGTACAACCTACAACCCTCAGCTTCATTTCAAAAGCCCACTGGAATACAAAAACATCATTTGCCTCCCCTTTTGCATGGAAATCCAATTGACTACAATGGATTAACAGGAAAACCAAACAACCGTGTCTTTGCAGAATAGTGTAAAGCTAACTAAGAGCATATTTACCCAAAATGAACTGGGTTTTTTCCTGCAGCAGTTTAAAGTGTTAATGAAATCAATGAAATTCTTTGGGGTGGCGTAGTTGCTCCTTCTAAGTTTCTGAAGAAATTTCTTGTTGTAGAGCCCTACTGAACCATGGACCATGACACTGTGTTCAACGACTGCCTCCATGTTTTCTAGTGGGATCAAAGGATTAATCCCTGGGAAAGAATGAGAAGAAAAACACCCATCAAACCATACACATGCCTAGTGTTTTTGTCCTCATAAGAATGTATAAGGGCACTAAGAATTTACATAGGAAATGTGAAACTCACCAAGGGACATTTTGCTATATGTTATGAAAATGCCATAAAGCAAAAACAAAAGAAAATAAAAAGAAGAAAAAAACTTCTGGATGATGGATCATGAAGTTAGTTCAAGGAATGTTTAAAACCAAAATGGAACTTGACCCAACTTTATTCTTACTGGGCCTACTGAATGAACAGGTTAAAAGTTCAAGTTTACAATAATGCATCATATGGTTTTTGCAGCAAGAAAACTTTATGTTCAAAAAGGGAAAACACAGATCTAAGTTAAGAGAAAATTGGATTATAAAACTGCAAGAAATAGCAGACAATGACAAGTCGTTTGATAAAAGAGAAATCAACAGACACCTTTTTAATACTCAGAAACCTTTTAGGTCATATTACAAAGGTTGAAGAGTAGTGAAACATTAATGAAGTTAGAGGATAGAAAAGGAGACATAATATATAATAATAGAGCACGGTAACAACTAATTTTATTGAATATTTATTTTGGTTGAAAGGTGGCAAGGCTCCTTCTTTGGAAGCTTTTAAACAGAGGCTGGATGGCCATCTGTCGGGGGTGCTTTGAATGTGATTTTTCTGCTTCTTGGCAGAAGGTAAGGCTAAGATTCTACTTTGATTTCTCCCATAATTCCACATCGGGAGGATATTTGGAAAAGTGGTACAATGTTTGGCATACCAGGTTCTCATTTAGGATTTATAATATTGGCTTGTGGTAAAATCACTACATAGGATTAACATAAAGACTCATGTGTCTCAAAACTCACATTGTGCAACCCACAGTCTGCAATTAAACTCCTACATTAAAAAAATTTCACAACTGCGCAGAGAGCCTGAGCTGGCCAGGGCAAGAACCAATCGATTCCAGTGTTGTTGACAAGACCTACAAAGGGGACATTATATGAGAGTAAATAAAAACACACAAACAGGAAGGTATAAAGTGTTGGTAATGGATAACTGATATACAACCCACTCATATACCCATTTATCGTTTTCTTGTTTCCACATTTCTGGGACAGAGAGGAGATATCAGTTTATCTACAGAACGGACTGTTTGGTACCTGGGAAATTTTGACAGCGTGTTCTCAGTGTCTCCCCAACTGGGGACATCCCAAGGACAATGTGGAGGTTGTTGGCACTCTAGTTCACGAAGTACTGCCAAACACTTTCTTTTGCTGGTGCATTGCCAGCTTTCATGGCTTCATCTGTGATCTGACTTAAAATACCATCTCTCTCATCATCTGGGAAAAGAGCTGGAACCATGCCTGTCAAATAAAGCCAGAAAGAGACAAAGTTGGAATAGTTAAGATCTCAGGATTCTACTCTGTAAAAAGTAGAAGACAGCATCCTACCCTTCCTATCCTACTAACCGGGATAGGGAGCACACTATGCCCCTATTAAAACAGCTCCATTGGCTTCCGACAAGTTTCCAGGCCCAATTCAAAGTGTAGGTTATTATCTATAAAGCCCTATATGCTTCAAGTCCAACCTATTTTCGAGACCACATCTCCTTCTATGAACCGGGATAGGCTCTGAGATCTGCTGGGGAGGCCCTTCTCTCGGTCCCACCAACATCCCAAGTACGGTTGGTGGGGACGAAAGAGAGGGACTTCTTGGTGGTTCCCTGCCCCCACCCCGCCCCCAGCTATGGAACGCTCTCTCTAGAGAGATTACGTTAGCCTCCACTCTCCAAGTTTTTCAGTCTAGTCTAAAAACATGGTTTTTTAAACAGGCCTTTGACCTTGAGTAGATTTTAATGGTTTGATTTAACGACTTAGTGATTGTTTCACTCCGGTATTTTGGATTGTTAATTGAAGACAGCCACTTTTATCCGCAGGAACTGCTGCACTTTATGAATTTTAAATTTTTTATTATGTGATGTTTTATGTGCGTTCATTGTTGCAAACTTACATTGTCACCGTTTATATGCTTATGTACCATTTATTTTATGTGCAGCACTCAGGGGGTGCTTTTGTGAGAAGTCACAAGTCCCTTTGGGGAGATGGTGGTGGGGTATAAATAAAGTTTCCTATCATTTTTATTTAACTCCTCCTGTGCCTAAAATGGTCTAAAACTAAATCAATGGTTCTCAACCAGTGGGTCCCCAGGTGTTTTGGCCTTCAACTCCCAGAAATTCTAACAGCTGGTAAACTGGCTGGGATTTCTCGGAGTTGTAGGCCAAAACGCCTGGGGACCCACAGGTTGAGAACCACTGGTCTAAATGCTCAAGAAGGATCCCAAACATGCTCCCTAGATGGCATTTTTGAGCACAAAGGTTAATTTCTGGTGGGACTGAGTACAGCAAAAGGTGCTGCCCTCCAAGGTCTCCTGGATGTGCTAATTCAGCCTCCCATGACTGCTTTCATTTTGATTTTTATTCTTAAAGAATGAACCGATGAGGTCACATCAATAAAAGTCTCCCAAGATACAGTGTGCAGAGGGATCTGTTGTAAGAAAAATATTATACTAGCCACTTTCGTATCCATTACCACTTGTGTGCATCTTTGAACACATCTCTAGCTCAACGGTGTCAAACTTGTGGTGCTCCAGATGTTTGCACCTCCAACTCTCAGAAGCCCCTGCCAGTTTATCCAATGGCCATGAATTCTGGGAGATGAAGTCCAAAACATCTGGAGGGCCACAAGTTTGACACCACTGAATTAGATGATTGTACATCATGACATTCTGTAAGGGCTGGGGTTTGATAAGGGCCAACATACCCAAACGGAATGTTTGATGATCAAGATGAGAGAAAGTCATTAGGGCAACAGGAAATGTATTGGTGTTCAATGGATGCAGCAGTAGCTTCGCAGCAGTGGTCTACAAACCTTTGTCTCAGATCTGCTGTAAGTTTCTAGAAACATTTGCCTTCTCTTGATTCCCCTGTAAATATGTTCCTCTCATTGAAGAGTGTCAGATATGCATGGCATTTCCCTTAGTGAAAGGCAAATGTATCTTTGTAGAAAACTGTTTTCCAAGGAGGATGAATTCAAAGTGGAAATACAATGGGAAAAGCAGTCTTAGAACCCATATTTTCATGCCCACAGCCATGAAAATAGTGTTTGATTGCTCCTTATTTCCTCAGCTCACACAATTTGCCAACAGCATTGGTTTTTCTTCAATATAGATTTTCCTGAACCGAACAGGGGAGCCTTTCTAACACCATGGTATTTCAGATTTAACAGTGTGGGTAATTGAGGATGCACACACATCATATATTACCTGATGTCAGCATGTTGTTGATGAGCTCCAAGAATCCCTCCTCTGCTACATGAGCATCAGAAAACAGGAATGTCATTATCTTATTCTCAATCCCAAGTTTGGTATACAACGACTTGAGGTCCTCCCGCAAATTGTTCTCACTATATCCTCAGCTCAGAACTATTTCAAAAATTTAAAAGATAAGTGCAAATATCGATGGGCTCTTTTCATCTGAACCTCTGATTTACAGAATGGCAACTGGGCCATCTCTCTGGGTCAGAATCCCCTTCTTATTCAGGTAAACAAACCCTAAGCCCCAGTTTCCCATAAGTCAGTGGCTGATTATATTTGCCTTCTCTTTTGAAACAGTTTTAATATTACTAAGCTGTTTCGAACAGGGAGGGCTAGTGATCTGAATTAATTCAAGAGAAAGTAAGGGTTCAATAAATGTGCAAACCTCGCATCCTGCTGTATAAGCTGCTAATCTTGCCAGCGACTGCTTTCCAGAGCCTCCAACACGGACGAGCAAAGCATGACCACGGTCCATCCTGATAATACGATGGACGCGGGTCAAATGCTCCAAGGCATCATCAAACAGGACCAGATTCATTTTAGTATTTATTTCATTGTATTCTTCAAGAATCGCCTACAAAAGAAAGTTAAGGGAGAAATGGCTTGTGGAAGCAATTTGATATCAAAAAAGGCACGTGAAAAAACAAATACAGCTAGAGTAACAAGCCCATTTACCAAAACTGGGGTGAGAGCTAAGAAGGCAATCAGCTGGCCTTCTAAAAAAAAGTCAGTTCTATCTATGACATTCATTCTGGTGGATGCAGATGAAGGACTGTGACTGAATAGCCAAAGGGCAGCATCTGCTTGAAGGAAATCTACAGACAACAATCCTGACTGTTTCTGGAGCAGACAGGATCAGGAAAAAAAGAACATCAAATCAAACCATTAAAAAAAAAAACCCTCTTCCCCCAGTTTAGGTTCTGTACTTCAAAAAGTGCTTTGGCTGCATCGTAGTCCTGGATGTCTTCATAAACACGAGGTTCGCCTTCATTAAGGGCCATTCAAAAATCTCCAAAAAGAATTGGCTCCCTCATGGCATGTTCTACATCATCTTTGAAATTATCCTCAATCAAAGCCTGTATATGCTCTTGGACCTGACAGTATAATTTGAAGAGACAGAATATGAACAAAGTCATATTAAATTCCTTATTTGCAGTCAATCCTGGTCTGATCTGCCACAAAAGGATTCCACGCTAAGTCAGATAATGAAAGGAACAAAGATCTGAAGAATTTATCTAATGGTTACACAGCCCAACAAAAAAAAATTCCTTGGTGTCTTGCGTTTTAGGCCTGTTCCTGGGGGGGTCGCAAGGGGGAGTCAGAGGGATCGCTAAAGACCATCGGAAAACACAGTATTTTCTCTTGGTCATGGGGGTTCTGTGTGGGAAGTTTGGCCCAATTCTATCGTTAGTGGGGTTCAGAATGCTCTTTGAGTGTAGCTGAACTATAAATCCCAGCAACTACAACTCCCAAATGTCAAGGTCTATTTTCCCCAAACTCCACCAGTGTTCACATTTGGGCATATTGGGTATTGATGCCAGGTTTGGTCTGGATCCGAGTCCACAGTGCTCTCTGAATGTAGGTGAACTACAACTCCAAAACTCAAGGTCAATGCCAACCAAACCCTTCCAGCAATTTCTCTTGGTCATGGAGGTTTTGTGTGCCAAGTTTGGTTCAATTCCATCATTGGTGGAGTTCAGAATGCTCTTTGATTGTAGGTTAACTATAAATCCCATCAACTACAACTCCCAAATGACAAAATCAATCCACCCCAACCCCACCAGTATTCAAATTTGGGCGTATCGGGTATTTGTGCCAAATTTAGTCCAATGAATGAAAATACAACCTGCATATCAGATATTTACACGAGGATTCATAACAGTGGCAACATTACAGTTCTGAAGAAGCAACTAAAATAATTTTATGTTTGGGGGTCACCACAACATGAGGAACTGTATTAAGGGGTCGCGGCATTTGGAAGATTGAGAAATACTGCTCTAAGACCAAGGGCAAAAGTACTTCCCAATTCTTTTACCAATATTTTTTTTAAGGTTGTAATCATAAAGACCATTAAGGTGGAGTAAATCCTGCTGAAAACAGTGGGACATCCTTCTGAGTAAACAAATGTAAGATTGAAGTATAAATGGAAATGTTAGCTTCTGAGCTTGGAGTCTTCTGTACGAAAAGGATTTCTCATGGACAAATGGCTATTCACACTGCAGAACAGTACAAGCAGCCACATAAGGTTTTATCCTGTTTCCTGCTCATGTTCAAAACAACACAAATTAATTAAAGGAAGAAAAAAGGCAAGGACCAACCAGCGCTTTGTCTATTTCATTAATCAGCCTGTCATGAAAAACCCGCAGGCACTCGTTCCTCCATACTCGCACCATCTGGCCCACTGTCTGGAACCTGTGTTGGAAGAAAACTGGGTCAAATTATGGAATGAGATTTAGTGGACCACTCAGCCCCACTCACCCCCCATTTGCAATAAAAGTTGCTCCCAAATAGACAGTTCCTCCTGCTACATAATATTCAAAAAAGCACTAGACACAAGTTTCATCTTTTTTAAAGAGATATTTTTTCTGGTAATAAAGAAGGATTTGTTTATAGCCCACAAGTACTTTCCTTACACCTATTCTGTCTTTCTTAAGAGTAAGAAAAATAACAGAACTGGTGATAGGAAAATACAGGAGGGCTATGAACTGAAAAGGAAGAAATCTGAGCCAACCATCAAATTCCACCGATAGGGCAATGTGATCGCATCACAAAAGGGCCCGAAATTGGATGTAACAAACTCACCGTTCTGGGGTTGTCTGAACAAGTCCATTGTAGAACCTAAACTATGAGTCTGTT